CATCATTGTGAGGCTTTCATCTTGCTGGCTAATCTACTTCTCTTAAGGTGATTGAGGCAACATCTACTACAAGAGCTTATGTAGCGGGCACTAAATTCACCTCTTTGAACCTCATCTTTTTTGTAGTTACTAACGAGTTGATTCTCTCTCCACCCTTGATATCAGGCACTATTCCTACTATGTGGACCAATTGAGCTAAGATAGGTTCATTTTTGTTGCTTTCCATGGGGCTTCTCTTGGGTACCCACTAGGGTCAGCGAGCACATTTTCCTTCGATTTTTCTCCTTAATGAGTTCTTCAACCAATTCTCAAAGATAACGACACTCCTCCATTTCATGTTCGTGATTTTTGTTGAAAGCATAGTATCTTGAGCTCTCTCTAGTTTGGGCCTTGGCCTTCATAGGCGTTGGGTGTTTGAATAGCTCCTTGTTCTGAAAAGCTTCAACTAGGTCAACTATAATCACTTTCAATGGAGTTTAAGTGGCATAATTTGGGGGACAGTGCATGACTTCTCAATGATAAGGCCGAGTGGCTCGAAGGGGCTCCTCTACTCTTGGCTAAGGCAGTTCTGCAATCCTCAATAGCCTAGGTTATAGGGACACTCTTGGGTGGTGGCAGTTTTGTGTTGGATTGGGTCTTCTTTCCCTCCTTTCCCTTTGTCGAACCCTTTATCTATCTCACCCTCATTGTTGTTCTTTCCTATAGGCGAGTCCATATGGATCAGTGGATACTTGATCATATGCTTTTTCAAAATGAATAAAATCATTTAAATATTTTTTTTTCTACTCATGTACTTTTTTATTAATTTCCTTGGGACAAAAACACCTCATTATTAAATATTCCTTTGCATAAAATCAAATTAATTCTTAGGTTTGATTTTTCTTGGCCTATGTTTTGGTACGTTCTCTTATAACATCTATCACCTTTAGTTTTATCCACATTGTTCTTGGAGGTTGATACCAAAGTGTGTCTTTTTCAATCAATTGATATTCTTTTGTCAGTAACATTTCATTTTACTGAACTAGTGCAAAATATTTGTTACCTCCCCAAACTTCAATAGTTAACTAACTTGAATCTAAAGCTTTAACGTCATTCATGTTCTTTAGTGCCAACTAAAGTCATCTTGTTGCATAATAACATTTATCTTTATTATGCTCATTATGATCTTCTAAATTTTTTTCCTTACTGATGATGTTTCTAGCCAATATTATAATATTTGTATTCTTAATAGTAGAAGCCTATGAATGACTATAAAAAGTAATTTGAAAGCAATATATCAGTACCGCTATGAATAAATTTGTCTTTGGACTCTAATGTTTGGTGCATCTCTCGAAGTATTCATTTTTTTATACTTGTATGGTCTTGAAGGTGGCATGTACTTAATGTTATCATTTATTTTAGGAGGATTTTATGATTTGAGTTTTTTTTAATAGCATTTCAAATTTGGTATAAATTTTAATAGCATCTGCAGGATTGCAATCATTATCTTGTTTATTCAACAACCATCAGAAACATTGGATTCTGATGACATTATTTGTGCTTCTCATTGGGATCTTTGATCTTTTATCTTGTCAAATTGTTGTTATTTTCCCCGATGATGGATACAACTTTGATACTTCAATTATTTATATCCATTCTAGCATTTTCTTTCGTAACTCTTCTTCTCTCTCTTTTTGAAAGCATTTTCCCTCTTTATGGTATTTGGCTTTATCCATAGATACCTCATTTTTAATATTTAATCTTAATCATTATACCTTCTTAGTTTACTTGATTTTTTCATTGTTTATGTTTAATTTTTAATTTCTTTTGTTAAGCACACCTCCTACAATGTTCAATCTAACTTGAAATTTTTCCAACTTTTCAGCATTCATTAAAAGCAACCCCTTTTTCTCCATAATCAATCTCTTTTTCTCGCATCCTCCAATTTTAGATTATATAACCATACCCCAAGCTTTGTATCAAATCTTTGGGTGATTGTAAGAAGAGAAAGGCTTTGTGTTTGGCAGCTATGATGCACCGACACACCTCTTAAAGAGGGAATGCAGTATCAGACATGAACACGTGCCTGACACAGTGGGGACATGTGTCGTACATGACATAATCGTGTCAGATTAAAATAAAACAGGCATGCGTGTCCTGTTTTTTAATAATTAAATTTATTTAAATTATAAAATCTTTATATTTATGTCTAGTATAGAGCCTTAGGTTTTCATTTTCATGGCTTTTATCCCCCGTCTTCCTTTGCAGCATGACCAAGAAAGTTAGGTGAGCCGAGGCCTGTATCCCTCGTCTTCGTATTTCTGCACACTGGCGAGGCCAACCGAGCATGTCTTCTTCATCTTCCCAAATGAGGAGAGAAGAAAGATTAATATAGAACTTGCAAAGTTCTTTGGATATTTAGAGAATTTTGGTGATCAAGAAGTTTTGGTTGATAGATGGAGGATGTATCCAAAGATGTGGTGGTTGATTCATGCAGCTTCAACCCCGCTACTTCAAACAATAGCAATAAAACTTCTTTGTCAAGTTTCATTCTCCTCTCGTTGCGAGAGAAATTGGAGCAAATATTCATTTATTCAATCAATGAAGAGGAACAGAATTACTCTATAACAAGCTAAAGATTTAGTTTATGTGTATATAAATCTTCGTCTTCTATCAAGAAAGATCCCACTTTATATGGAAGGTGATAACAAGATGTGAGATTTAGCTGGAGATGGGTCTGAGTCCCTTGATGATATAGGAATATTGGAGATTACAAATCTTTCTCTTGATGAACTAGAGTTCAAAGCAATGATATTCAATAGTGATGATATTGAAGGCCAAAGACAAACCTCTGAAGCTAATCCTATCATTCCCTCTATTGAGTAGTTAAAGCTTGATGTTGTGCTAAATGGTTTTTTACTTATATTCTTATGGTTTTACTAAACATTTTGTACTAAATATTTTATATTATAAGCTAAACAAGTTATCATGATATTAATTTATTATGGTTTGTCATTTCTAATATGATGTTACCTTAATTTGTCTATACTATTTAATAAAAAAAATTATGCCTTGTCCGCGCCCACCCATGTCCCATATTTTAAAAAAAAATGTGTCCTGTGTCCATGTCATGTCGTGTCCATGTCGTCGTGTCCGTATTTGTGCATCATAGGTTGGCAGTTTTCTGATTGCATGCATTCAAATTGTCTAATTTATGTATTTTTATATAGTCTAACTATAATGCATGGACACTTCTCCTCAACGAGAAGTGTCCGACACGACAAGCCTGTCTTAAATATTTTATGAAGTTTTTAAAGTATAATTTCTTGTATTTAAATTTTTTATTTATTTAAAATATAAAAACTAAATTTCTTATTTCCTCTTCATAACACCAAACCAATTGCCCGCACTTAATACCCCATTCATTGAATGTTTTCATTTTCATTTCTCTTTGGCGGGTTATGACTTTGGTTTCACAACAATGCCCGATGTCATCTCAACATTGACATTTGATGTTTCTACAACGTCATTATTTCAAAACCATCTCTATATCAAAGTCCGGACTATCTTGACATTGATGCTCAACGTTAGCAATTTCTACACCCACAACTTGACAACTTATCTTTGTCCAACTTCGTCTTAATATCAACGACAGACGCCTTCTAAATATCAACGCCCGATACTTACTCCATAACATTGATGCACGACTCTTGATAGCATTGTTGTCTCCTCTCTTGATCTCTGGTACACAACATCGGCGCCCGACTCTCGACATCATAATATTAATCATTTTAAGCACAAATTTTAATTAAAATAACTTATTATTTCTAAATTATTTTCAATATTTAACTTATTCTTTTTATACACTATTTTTAAAATATAAAAATTTTAATACCGTATCCAACCCATGACGTGTCCTATATTTTCAATAATTAACATGTCCCGTGTCCGTATCATGTCGTATCTGTGTCGTTGTGTCCTTATTTGTGCATCATAGTCGCGTAATCTAGGTGGTTTGAAATAAGTCTTGAGAAAGTTGCCATTTAACAAAATAAAATGAAAGCATTATTTAATACGAAGCCTCTGCTGGTGTGTTGTAGGAACAATTATTACGTCCTCCGACCGGACGTAGAGGAACGTTCGGTCGGAGGCCAAATCGCGCCAAAAAACGAGAAATACCGAGCAATACCAAACAATAACGAAGAATACCATCACGTGAAGACCCAATACCGAGTTATACCGAGCTATACCGAGCAATACCGAGTTATACAAAAGTTGTACCGAGTTTTTACTAGGTATTGGTCGGTATAGCTCGGTATAACTCGGTATTGGTCTTCACATAGCGGTATTCCTCGTTATTATCAAATAATACCTAGCAATACCGAGCAAATACCGAGTTTTTTGGCGGGATTTTGCCTCCGACCGGACGTTCCTCTATGTCCTTACACTGGACCTAATGAAAGTACGTGTTGTAGATGGTCTTATCTCATTCATTATGAAAAATAAATAAATATTGTTAAGTATCAAGAAGCCATGTAGTTTGTTTTTCTACATTTGCTTATTTAAGAAAATTGGCAACTTTAAACCTATTTCTTTTTTTAATGAGAAGAAGCTTATGGATTATCATTTCTACAATCGTTATGCTTTTTATGCTTAATATTCCTTTAATATGATAAAGCATGATTTTGTCATATCTGGAATAGAAAACATTGGACTCATCATTTCATCTGTTACTCTGTTCTGTGTGGTGGATGAAAGTCATGGAATGAATCTCGTATGTGGTGGGAGGAGTCATGTTGTAGTAACTATACTTATGTTGGCATGAACCTGTGTTCCACAACAGGTGAGTCATAGTCATGCGGCTAAAATTTTCCCCACATCCAGAAAGAAGGTACCATGTCATGCTATTAATGTGAATTTATGACCAAAAATGTAAACAATTTATCTTATCCGACTTTTTGGCATTCGAAAGTTTGGTGTTAGAGCCTGATTTAATCTTCATTTTCTGGTATCTCTTGAAGGAGCTGGAGAGACCTTTCTAGAAGGGCTTTTGATGAACGGATGGCTCTCACAGTTAGCCTTGATATCTGGTTTTGTTGAAGCTTCTGTAGCATCATGGACATTTTATCAAGGTATGCATAGCTTTACTGTGCTTCAGTTACATCATAGTTTTGCTTTTGCTACTACAACTTATTGTTGGCATCAGTCCTGTATAGCTCCAACGTGGAGTTGCAGCTTTCAGCATGTGACTTTTGGTGCAACATCCTTTCTAAAAATGAGGTAATTTCCTGTATACTTAGGGGGATATTTTCATTTTTCCTTTCTATGATGTTCTTAAACATGCAGGCTGGTCAACCATCTATAGTGCTTGAATGGATTCCTAGCTATCGTGAATTAAAGGATGCACTTGATGTCTATGGATATTTGTCTGATGCTTCGGAAAATGCCGCATTGAATTCAATTTCCAGTTCTCAAGGTTATGACGACACAATTCTCTTACTAGTTTTTTACTTGTGACATTATGCTGTTGACTAAATTTACTTGGTGCTCTATTTTTCCATGCATTTGTTATCTTAACCAGCTCCTCCATTTATATTTATATGCTCTTAAACCTGATGCCAGCGATATTGTTTGTTGGTGTCAACTCCATGCAGCTTATGCTATTCCTTGCTTTTGCATGCAATATCATATAGGCTCTTATTCATACTTATTAAAGCACAAAAGCATGCTTTAAAGGACAACAGAGACGGGACACCATGCCAAGAGATTCATGTTTGAAAGCAAGAGGTAGGTGTTCACTTAATATTTATGTATGGATGGAATGATCAGATATGTATCCAGCCTCTAATATGAAATCTTAGAAATATTTTCAGTCATTTTGCATCAGTTAGATATCTTTGCTTTGGGTTATTGGCTATATAAGTTGATGCATGAAAGTTTAATTGGCATGGAAACTTAGGGAAAGCTTTTGTTGTATGTGAAGGAGTTGAGAGAGAACTGAGAAGAGAGAGAAAAGGGGAGAGAAGATGAAAAGAAGAGAAGAAAGACACAAGAACATATCGGGAGTTTATGATAACATTTCTATGAACCAATGTACCCTTTTGAGGAAACTTTGAAATGGATAAATTTTCAGTATTTGTTTAATCCTCCTAGGCCATTAAAAGAGAAGCATAAAATTAAATGAAGTGTTGCAGAGATGAGGATCCTCAGGTTTTGAGTGGCTTCACTCTTACAAACAGAATACAAAATGAGTATATACGTGAAAAGATTGGAGTAGCTCTAGTGACAGATAATATTTGAGAGAGTTTCCTTGGATGGTTTGGTCACATAAAATGTCAGCCTTCTTATGACATGATTAGGAGAGTAGATGTATTATATTTGGCCTATGTGAAGAAAGGTAGAGGTAGACCTGAAAGACTTAGAAAATATTTGAAATAATATTTTTTATTAGATTTAAATGAGAATTTGATTCTTAACAGAATACAACGGAAAAAAAAGAATTCATGTAGCCTACCCCATATAGTGTGATAAACCTTGATGTTGTTGATGTTTTTGTTTAATTCTCTTTCTTGTTCTACCTAGAGTTAACTCACTTTTATTTTTTCTTGTGATAATTAGAGCTTTTCATAGTTTTGGTATGGTTAGTTAGTATTTATTATACACTATGATTGTGTCTTCTTTGTTAATGGATTAGATCATCTTTTTTCCCCAAAAATGTATGCTTACTTAAGCTGAACCACGTAAATTTGGGTAGTCACTTTTTTTGCGAAGTTTATTTTTTTTTTCTCAATTACTTGTGGTTCATCGTACTTGCTCATGAGTCCATGATTTCTAATTAAGAGAATTTTTCTTGGCAACTAGTGTTATAGTGGGGTTTTATTAAGAATGCAATGATTATGAAGATCGAGATCAAGAAGTCTAATGGTTAAAAGATTTTTGGGCGTTGAAGAATCAAGGGCATGCCAAGTTGCTTGAAATCATGAGTTAAGAAGGTAAAGCGTAGGTAGATGAGAAGGCTCTATCAACGATTAAATTTGTTTTTTTTTTCAACGGATGAGGTTTTGATGAAGTATTAGAAGAAAAAATCATGGAAGGTTTATGGCTTAAGTTGGAGTTAAAAACAATATTTTAGTAGAAGGATTCCTTGCTTCACATGTATGAAGGTATGTCAATTAAATCACACATGCATGAGTTTAATTCATCATTGGAGATTTGAAAAATATTGATGTGGTTGTTAATGATGAAGATCAAGCTGAAGATTAAGCTTAGTTTCCATCACACCTCGGGTTCAAAAGGCGATACACTCTGGTAACAAGGGATATGATGAAGTGATAGGAAGGCCTATTTTATGCTAAAAAGGTGTATATACAAAACATAACATAAACACTACTTTTAGCAAACAATAAACACCAAATTTCAAAACATCTCTCCAATTCCCTCCCAAATCAGCCCTCAAATCTACCCTCTCCATTTAGGAAATATCTCATAATTAATCCCCTCTAAATCAATCTTTTTTTATTAGAAAACGTCTCCTAATTAATCCCCTCCAAATCAAAATTCAAATTAGATTTCTTTTCCTAAATAATGTCTTCCTAATTGTAATTAATATTTTCCTAAATACTTCCACTTTGATTAAGAACCTTCCTAAATAGCTTCCTCTTGATTTGGAAACTTCTTAATTTCCTCCGAATCAAATCAGCTAGTCCATCAATATTTCCCTCCCAAAGTGCCACATTGTTCTTAAGGTGGAATGAAGGAAACGGTTGCTGAAGCACTGTACTAATAGCACTAGATTGAAAAATGGGCTGTCACTGGGTCGAATGATCCTTGCTTCCTCCATCTCCCTGATCAATCTCTCAATATCATCCTTCTGAAGTTGGGGAGAATAATACGGATGAACACTGATATGTGAGATTCCTTTTAAAATGATAGCATGCTCGTGTTCTCGCGGAGGTGGCAACCCCTGAATTAGTTGGAATATCTCTCGATATTGTTGTTGGAGTGGCTGAATCATGTCTTGTGCTTCTATCTTTTCCCCATCTTCTTCTCCTTCCAAACTCTGCACCTCCACCAAAAATCCCACTCCTTCACCCTTTTCTCTCCTCGGAATTGGCTGATAAGGTAACATCTCCTCTTCTTCCTACAACATTTCGACCCCCTCATCCTCATTGTCCCCATGTTAGGGCTTCCCCCACTTGTCCGGTCAATGGTGCCCTTGCCTCTGATATTGGCGATTGAGTGTGAAATTTTAATTTTTTTTCATCAAGTCCTCCAGGTTAGAAAGTCTTGCTTCCAAGGATGAAAGCCTTCCTTTGATGATGGAGAACTTCTCCACAACCGGGATTTAATTTACTCCATCTTACTTTTCAACTCCTCCACCTTCTTCCTTCCATAGGTTCCAAATAAGTGCTCTGATACCAATTTGATATGCCTTGGTATCAAAAGCAGCCAGCGAACAAGGACAAATTCAACAAACAACATATTTTTATTGATAAGAAAAGAAATGCGAACAAATAAGATACAATGGTTCTCTTGAAAGAGGACCGTCTCTCTCAAACCCTAAACGCCACTAGGATTCCTCACAAAAACAGTAGACAACAAACTCTAACAAAACTTTGCATACAAAATATAGCATAAATCCTACTACTTATAGCAAACAATAAATAACAAATTTCAAAACAGCCCTCCCCCAATTCCCTCTCAAAATCAGCCCCAAAATCAGCCCTCTCAAATTAGGAAGCATCTCCTAATTAATCACCTCCAAATCAGCCCTTTATAATTAGGAATCATCTCCTAATTAATCCCCTCTGAATCAGAATTCAAATTAGATCTCTTGCCTTAAATAATTCCCTCCTAATTGTAATTAATTTTTTTAAAATAATTCTGCTTTGATTAAGAATATTCTTAAATAGCTTCCTCTGTATTAGGAAACTTCCTAATTCCCTTCCAATCAAATTGATCGGTCCATCACAGTGGAGTTTACCTTTGTAATACTTAACAAAAACAAATGGTGACGAATGATTCATAAAGTTGAACCTAAGCAGTTGAAGAAGGTTATTTGCTTATCATTTTTGTTTTGGTTTATGTTGGAATGAACCATAATTTTATTTGGGCTCAGACTTAAAAACAAAAGAAACTTTTTTCACAAACCTTTTGTAGAAATTGTTTTGTGAAATGCTATTTATCAATTTTGGGTGTTTTCTATAGCTTATCCAATTTGGATGTTTTCTAGCATAGAAATTAACTTCTTTTCACATAATATTGTTTTTATAAGCTTATATTAACTGGGTTACTTAGAAGTTCAGCCGTAATTGAAAATGTATTAATTTGAAGCACTCATGCTTGAAACTAGGTCATAACTTTCAAATTCTTATCATTAAATATGTCAACTTCTGACGTGTTTCTTGCAGGTCCATGATTTAAAGGTTCTGAATGAAGTTTTTTTTTTTCCTATTTTGAAAATTGAGGGACTAGTGTCAAAATTTTAGAATTTTTTAACTTAACTTTCTCTACCCTGAGCTTGAGGGAGCAAGATGTAATTTGCTTTATGTTTATTTATTTTGTTTGTGATATTGTTTTTGGAGGTTCTAACTTTCACTCATGTAGGGTTGATGATATTGGTTGTAGTTCTTGTTTTTACTCTTAGCTTTTTCTTAGATTTTCCCTTTTCTTATTTGTTTGATGGACTTAATATTTCATTTGCTTAATCGGTGGTCATTTTTTTTAATTTCGCTAAAGTTCAGATCTACTTTTATTCCACCCAAAAGGTTTTGAATTTTCTAATTTGTGTGCATTACTTATTAACTGATGGTTTGGCTCTTTTGTTTGAGATTTTATTCTGTTTCTACTTTTTTCGCTTTGGTTATTATGATATTGCTCTTTCTATTTCAGTGCCTGGTAGTGAAGGTCCACCAGTTAATATCAGTTCTTGGATCAAACTTTTATCTGCTTGTTTTCAGATTAGGTATGCATATGTAAAAAATCATTGCTTTGCCAACTAATATTTATTGTCAAACCCATTGATATAGTTACAGTCATTTAGCATTAGTATTAATGTATTATTATTTAGGTCCCTTGATTTTCCGGGCTAAGCTATATGTTCGGTTGACATTCCATGCATTTTTTCGTGTAAGATTCTGTATATTTCAATAAGCTGTTCACTTATTGCTAAACTTTTTTCTCTTGCTAACAGAAAATTTCAGTCCATCTTCTCTGTTTCCGAAGCTGAAGAGGTCCTTATTGTGATTATTCGCCTCTTTTTATCCCGCCAACTCCAGGGCATATCATTTATATTGTCAGATTGCATGCAATCTATATTAAGTTTCTTTACTGAGGATGAATGGGCTGTCAGCTGTGAGAAAGTTGCTCATGACATTGCTTATAGGTAACTCTTTGAAATGTACAAACTTAAGATAGTTAAATACCAATTACTAGTTGTATAACATTTCATTCATTTTTCCTTGTACATGACCTTGGTCCTGCGACTTCAATGATAAAATTTAATTTAATATAGTGAGTAAAGTCCAAAATGGTTTTCCCACTATTCACATGTTATGAATTTAGCCCCAAACTATGAATTGTCTCCAATTTGATCCCTCAATTCTAAAACAATGATCCCAATTGATTTCTCTGTTAAAATCACCATTCTAATTGAAAAAAAAAAAGTGTAAAGTGTAAAGTTATCACATAGTTATGGGGAAAAAGGATATTTTAGAAATTTTACAATAAATAAATAATGCCCGTTTTAAAATGGTTACAGTAAGGCAAGTCAGTGCCATTTTATGGAAACTTCCGATATGGTTGTGTGGTCTAGATGAAGCAGCAAGCACAACAAAAGGAAATCGACCTGCGGAGTGTGCGACAGAAGCAAATGACCATTAAGAAGATGTCGTGTGTGGGCTTTGAAAATTTTAAGCTTTTGGGGGCCTTGGCTTTTCTGCATATATTCAAGGAGAGTTTTGATGGATTATGTTTTAGGAAATTTTTTTGGAAGGCAGATTAACTAGAGATAATACATTACCCAAAGATTTCGTCCTCTTAGCGAGGATTTATGATCTAAGTTTTTGTTTCTTATAAGCACAAACCCCTATAATAGCTAATTACCCATCCCAATAATGAGAGAGCACTTTCAATTAAGGCTAGTCGATAAAAAAATATTTAGTATCATGTGTGTAGTGATTGGGTGGATTTGTGCGTGTAGACAAACAAGACTTTATTACAAATTGTGTAATGACCTCTTTGCATATAATCTAGGAGAGTTTTGATGGATTAGGTTTCGGGAAAAAATTTTGGAAGACAGATTAGCTAGAGATAAGACATTACCCAAAGATTTTATCCTCTTAGCGATGATTTATGATCTAAGTTTTTGCTTCTTATAAGCACAAACCCCTATAATAGCTAATTACTCATCCCAATAACGAGAGAGCAATTTCAATTAAGGCTAGTCGCTAAAAAAATATTTAGTATCAGGTGTGTAGTGATGTGGTGGATTTGTGCGTGTAGACAAGCAAGACTTTATTACAAATTGTGTAATAAATGCTTGTTCTGTAAATGTTGAGTAATGCTTAAGTTTTCTTTGATATGTCAATAATGAAAGTCCACTTAAATGTACGTAAGTATATGCGCCAAATTAAGTAATAAAGTGATTAAGTAGAGTATCAAATCCACAATGAGTGTTATGGTTACTTGCAACAAAAACTACTAGTGCTTACTCTAAATGCATAAGTTATCCTATTGAAATAAAAATGATATTTTTGAAGTTTCTATCACCGTGTAAAAATAGTAGAGTAGTTGATAAAATGTTTATAAATTGTTTTGGATTGATAAAGACAAATATCATATTTTTCATAATGAGACTCTTTATTGTACATGTGATTCAGAGCATGTGTATCCCTAGATCTATGTCGATCTTGTAGGTGTGAAATTGATATATGTTGATCTTTTACAGTTATAATATCTTCTTTAGAATATAGAATATTCAAACATTATATGTCTAGGCACCAACATTTTCTATCAATATTCTTGATTGTTCTTGCATTCTTCCGTTGAGGATATACATCACACTAGATTTTAACTACACACATAATCACTATATGCATTAAATGAAGAACCGTAGATAATTGAGAACATCATTAAATTTTAAAGTACAAGAGTCTTCATTAGTACTTAATATACTATTTACATCATCAATTCAAAATAAGAGATCTAGCTTGATATAGAATAAATGACATGCAAACTCATTTTTATTGTATTCATATAAGAATCAAAATACAAGAGAAATCGTGAAATTTTATTACCAGGTACAATCAAAGTATCTTTTCTACACTTCTTCCTCTACTAAAGAAGCTCTCTGAAAAATACTAAGTTTTACAAAAGTAATTAAACTTCTTCACAAATAGAATATAATATTTATTTATAGAAAAACACAGAAAAGGTGTTTGGTGCTACGACGCTTGAAAGTGTGGTGCTGTGATGCTTGAAAGTGTGGTGCTACGACGCTTGAAAGTGAACTACCGCCTCGATGTTGAAATGTTTGCTCCATCGCAGCGCTTGATGACGTGAAATTGTTATCAAGTAAACAAACACATTTTTTTTACTTCAGTGGCCTGTCTCTTGGAAGATATAAATGTAGCACCGAGGCACTATGGAAGTTGGAACGCTGCGACGCTCAAGTGGACAAAATGGCGCTAAGGCGTTAAAATGTGTGGTGTTGTAATATTCATTTCCTCGAGCCCCGATGTTGCCAAGCTAATTTTTCGATATAGCATTGCCTCAAATGGTGCGATGTTGCTATAATACCACTACAGTGCTCGTAAACAGAGAGTATGACACTGCAATGTCCAAAAGTGACACTTCGATGGTGTTGAATGGAGCGCGGCGATGGTGTTTCCTCTGGCGCCGCGGCATTGCCTGCTCCTTTATATTTTTGCTATTTTTTAGTTTCCCTGTACAAAAATAATTAAAATTACATATTTTTACTGAAATTCAAATATAATAAATAGTACATAATTTACACTTATCATATAGTAGCAGCAAAATTAGATATTTAAAATTAGAAATTCATCACTGTAAACTTAAAGTGGATGGTGGGGCAATTACATCAGAAATGTTCCAACACAGGATCTTTTGTCATACTCAACACTAATCCTCGCATTATGTCAAGATACTCAACAATATACTGAGCACTATGTAGGAAACTTTTCTTCTTAGTTTTATTATGCATCATACACCACTCGACTTCCATTGAGTTTATGCAACTCGACATGGCCGCTAACTAATCATCTAGTAGAGTCGTCGCCTCCTCTCCTATCACTGTCTCCAACAATAGCTACTCCTCCGCCAACACCAGGCTAGTTTGCATCTCTGTATTTGGTTGCCGATTCCACAAACCTTCCTATAATTCCCTCCGACAAAATTCAGTTTGGAGGAAGGGTTGGGTCAGTGAACAAGATACACGGCAAGGAAATCGATGGATGCTTAACAATCTTGACCGCAATCCGCTTCTTAGAGACGTATTCTATAACTTTTTCAGCAAGAATGGCGGTCTCCTCAGTAACTGCATCCTGCTTGAGTGCAATCGTCTCCTTCAAGGTAGCTTCACTCATGCTCTTCAGTGCGCTCTTAGGAGGAAAAATGATGATTCCTCTAACCGCTAGGACCTTCACATTCGTCGATTATACCTTCCACAATAGGGAATATAGGAATAGTCGTCTCCTTCATCCCCACAGCAGGATCAAATGACTGATCAACCTCAATGACGATCAGATACCTGACATCATGTCGCTTCCCTTTCAACAACGAATTAGTAGTGAGATCCGCCGAGTTCACATACACTCACAAAAACTCGCGCCGCTCCTTCAACAACAACCTTATTCAGCATGGTTTCTTCCACTTGGGACCTCCATGCCAAAGTCCACTCACACTCTCTTATAAGCAGCCATTCTAGAATCTCAAATGCCAAGAAGAGTGGAAAGATCCATCTTGCCGAAATCAAGTAAGGCTCACAAGATTGTATGCAAAAGAAAAACACCTACCAAGCTCGAAACCAAATAATGAGACCATCTGGTCTCCAAGGTTGCATGAACCTTGAAATCTGCAAAGATTCATAGCAGTAAATTTGCATTTACTCATGTTCTTTTTCTATTTTTTCTCCTTTGTCCGACCTTTTCGACTTTCGATATTCAAAGGGTCGAATAAATTAGGAAACTATAGGCACACCAATGACTACATGTGTAGGTTCTCATTTACAAGAATCTTATAGGTTACGTTCTAGTCAAGTGGATGGATTACTTTCTTCTCTCTCAAAACTCGCTCAAAAGTTGGGAAGGAGCTCAAAATTGCAGCATGGCAGACCAATTTTGGCCATATCTTCCAGGTAGTCGCTCTCCCCGATGAGGGTGACCTCAAAAGTTCCTCTCTCAGTCAGACAAATCTTTATCCATCACAACCAGAGTCAAGTCTCCTATGTGATACACATCAACAGTTAAGTTAACGACACCTATCATGCCCACAAGACATCTCTTGGAATTGGATCGATCTCAGGACCACATCTAGAGGCTACCCACCCTCTCACCTCAACGGGGCGTCGTCAGACCGGCTTCCTGTCGATGTCGAATTGATCCGCGAGTTCATCCTACCTGCATCCTCTCTTATAGTGATCACCACTTCATTCGGCACAAACGACTGAGCTACATCAAAGGCATATGGAACAACTACTATATCCTTTATATATCCATTGGAACTCCTCAAGTCCTATAAAAAGAAGGGGGATATAAAACAGGAGGAAAAGAAGAAAAAAAGGAAAAGATTGAAAGAAAGAACAAATTCTATAAGATGGTGGTGAGACCTGCAATGCTTTGTGGTGCTGAATGTTAACCATTAATAGAGAAGCATAATACTAAGTCAAGTGTTGCAAAGATGAGGACGCTCAGGTGGATGAGTGGCTTTACCTTTAGAGATAGGATATGAATGAGCATATACGTGAAAAGGTTGGAGTAGCGCCACTGGAGGATAAGATTAGAGAGAGTCGCCTTAAATGGTTTGGTCACATAAAACGGCAGCCTTCTGATGACTCGGTTAGGAAAGTAGGGGTATTAGATTTAACTTACGTTAAGAAAGATAGAGGTAGGTAGACCACTTGGTTAGAAAATATTAGAAATGATCTTTCTTTATTAGATTTAATCGAGAATTTGACTTTTAACAGGACATAATGGAGAAAAAATGATTTATGTAGCCAACCCTACGTAGTGGGACAAAGGCTTGATGTTGTTGTTGTCGTCGTCATAATTTATTGTCACAATATATCTTCATTGAGTCTCCCGTGCGGCCTTAGCACTCATTTCTTGTGCTAAGTCAGCCTTAAACTCACACAATGTTAAGCTAGAGAGCAAAAAATGCTAGAGAGGAAGTAAATGGGGAAAACTTCACTATTAGAAGAGAATTTTAAAAGAGGGGTTAGATGGAGTTGGGAGATGTAGGAGATGTGGGGAGTTGGTTACAAATAAAGGGGGAGGGTCCTATTTATGGCCCTCCTCTCATGCCTAAGAATAATCTAAAACTCCCTTCAAAATACATGCGTGTGGAATTCCCTATAGTACTCGATACTATTCCCTACAATATGCTTACATTATAATATTCTGGAGAGTTCTAGAGTATCCTAAAATACTCCAAGTATCCACACCGTTCTAGAACATTCTAGAGTATTCTAGAATCTTCTAGAAAACTCTAGGCCTATCTAGAACCGTCTAGAATCATCCAAAATCTTTTGGAATCTTCTAGAACCTTCTAGAATAATCTAGAACCTTCCATAACCTTCCAATGTCATGTGAACCCATTTAGGAATGGTTCTGGAGGATTTATTTGCCTTCGTTCGACACGTCACACCCAAGTAGTTTGCCAAACCTCTTGTTTCAACATTTGGGCGTGACAGTCTTCCCCACTATTCTAGCAATACCCTCACCGTGAGCATTCTTGGAGTCATGCTGAAGGTCGTTGGATCGCCACAGTTCCTCCTGCATATTTGGCTCCCCTAGTCCTTTGCCTTTTCCCCTAGTTTGGATTCCTTGTCGCCTGCTAGAGCATCACGAACTTGGGACATTGGGTTGGCTTCCGCATCCTCCGTTGGTGCATCAGGGACTTGGGATCTCCCTTCTTGTCTTGGTGCCTCCTTAGGCAGCTCCTCTAGCAAAACATCCGATGGTACTTTAAAGACTTCTGTCATCCCTATTGCCAAGCCTTCAATGTGTGCCTCTAACTCATCCCCATGAGTTGGATGGCCCTCCCCATCCCTTGGGATGTCTTCCAAGACTAGCAACTCCTCGCCCTTGGAGTTGTCTCCTTCTTGTCCTTGCTTCTGTAGCACCTGCATAGCCTCCACCTGATCACCACTCTTGCTATTCGTCACCCCTTGATGTTTGGCTAGGATCATTGAAGCTATTTTAGGACATTTCCTTGCCCAATGAGGTCCTCCACTCCTTACCAACCATTGCCTTGTTCCTCCCATTATCCATCGCCCACACGATGCTTTGGCAAGCCTCCTCCTTTCCCTGGCCCATTTGCCTCTCTCGTTGCTCTAGCTCTGACACATTGAGTTCTTACCTATATCAACTATGGATAGTAGGTTATAAGCATCCAAATCAACTATTAGATAAAATTAGTTATAAGTAGCTATTAAATTATTTAAGTAACATATTTAAAAAAAATGAATTAAGTTATTTATATAATATACTTTAAAGTTATAACTTAATATTTAACCTGTGTATTTTTTTTTAATTTATTTTAATTGGATACAGAGATGGAGTGTTTGATACATATTAGGCATGAGTCGGACAGAGCATTCATCCTCCATTTCATTGACATAACACTCTTCATCATTATCAAGATTTGGTGCATCATAGCCCTTTATTTAACTCCCTTGAATGAAATGACATGTGTTTTATCTCTGTGTTGTCAAGAACTCAATCAATCTTCTCTTCTTACTCGCCAAAAGGACATCCACCAATTCAATGTACAACTTCGCAACATCTAAGACATTGACAAAGCATCCATAAAGCCTTCTAAAATGTTTCTTTCCCCTGGTTGTCCAAACAACCCCTTCATTATTATTCTTTTTTTCTCCACTGGATCAAACATTGACCTTTTTTCCAATTGAACTTCCACCTCTAGAGTTTCAATTGACCACTTTTACCAACATCTTATAAACGTTGGACAATAACCAAATAATTCTCAATAAATTAAATCAGCTCAACCAACATTGAAAATATAGAGATTCCGAAATGTATTATATGTTATCAAATTGGGTCCCTCAATCGTTTCAAAAATCTATAGGTTATAAAGTTTTACTTTAGTTACTGATATAATTTGTGGAGCATATCAAATCAAGACAGTAAATTCATCCTCCTATTATATTATCATCTTATTGATTTCGATTAAGTTGATGAGAGTTTCTTGTATTTGTTGTATTGCAAATGTTGGAACAAATCAATCTTTGATCATTCCCTAAAAATTCAACACCCAAATTTAAGTTAGGATATTCATACCCAATTTTTTTCCATGATGGATATATTGAGTTGAGAGAGTTCTTGATGATGTTAGGAGATTGAGTTGATGTGTTTTTAATTTCCACTGTATTGAATCACAGCCCATTGTTTGGAACAATTATTACGTCCTCCGACCGGATGCAGAGGAACATCCGGTTGTAGGCAAAAATGCGCCTATACCGAGGTGTACCAAGTTTTTCAAAAAACTCGGTACACCTCGGTATAGGCGCGTTTTGGCCTACAAGCGGATGTTTCTTGCATTCGGTCAACCGGACCAAATAAAATTCCCATTATTTGACACTATTATTTCTTCAACCAAACAAAAAATATTACTCTAATAGAGGTTGGATTTTAGTTCTTATTCAATTGTGCTGAGATACTCCAATCTTTTGAATTACAGTGTTCCCAAGGATCTTAATTCCTTACGACTTGTTGAATGCATCTCTGGGACAAGCAATCGCAGTAAGCATTTCAGGGGTCGAATGGCCATCTACATGCTAGGAATCTTATTTGAGAAAGAAGTAAGTCTTCCCTCTGCACTATATGTACATTTGTTAGTTTACTTTTGATCGCCTATGCATTTTATCTAAAGAAGTTTCTACAGGTTTTTGATGGAATGGGAATCCTGAAATCTCTCGGATCAGTAAAATTGAAGGATAAAGACACTGATTTTTTCACTTTGTACATTTATTTAGTTCTGTCCGAGAATTGGATTTTATCTGACGATTTAGGGGATGGAAGATCCGATATTCTCAGTATGTGGACTAAATTTCTCCGAAATTGTTCTGGCAATATTTCAAGTACAGACTGGAGGCTCTATGCTTCGAAAGTAAGGAAAAGTATTTTAATGATTTTAATATTCATTCTAGTCAAATTTGAATTAAAATATCCAGCTCTTTTTTCTTTCATTTTATAGCTTTTAAGTATGCTAGCCCTTTTTCTGCAGGTCCGAAGCAAGGCTTCTTACCTTCTACAGAGCACTATGAGTGAAAGATGAGCTACCAAGGTTTTTTTTTTCCCCATTTATGATCTATTTTGGCGTTGCCACGCTCCCAGACTCCGGCAATGTATCTATTCTTATTAGAGCTGACATTGGCTGCTTTAACTAGTTATCTTTCACTTCACATGCCATGGTTGATTAGTTCTTTTGTAAACCTACACAAGTTTTGCGTCCTTGCCATATTGGACCCGTAAAGCTTCAATTTTGTTATTCACAAAATTGATCTTATTTGGTTTAATTTTTGTTACCCTCCTTCGCTAACTTCAATTTTGTTAATGTTTATTATAGAAATAGCATTGTTGCATTCTAGAATATATGCACTAGTGAAGTGAATTTTATTGTCTTATCATTGAATAAAAATATTACACATAAAAATTAGTTAAAAATAATCATTTGAGACATGCATTTTTTTCATTGTACAAATTGAATATTATATATAGTATATTTTCCTGTAAATGGATAGGGCATTAATGTAATATTATATATAATAACTCTAAAAGATATCCCCTATGGTGGTAGAGATCATGAGGTGTTGGAATTACCATTGGAGATTAGTGAGCAGTCATCTTTGCCCCTCTTTTTATAGAAGGGGATATACAAGGCAATAGCAAAGATGGGCATCAAATGTTAGTAGTTAATGGACATAAGTTATTGATCATTTGCAGACATTAGGCGACGATTGGATATGAACGTAGAGCATTAAATGATGGTCAATGGTTAGCTTAGGTAATCTTCTTATAAGATGGGAGATTTATTACTAGGAAGGCATGTATGTGTTGGACATTAGTAGGCGTTATACTATGGTTGACTTAGAATATCAAATGTAGAGCTATAGTTGGTGGGTTATTCGGTTGTTCTCTTTATAGGAGAGGAGACTGATGACCAGTAAAGAGGGCATTGAACACATGTGATTGATAGATGTCAAATATTAGTAAATATCAAGTGATGGTTAATTGAGAATGCCTGCTGTTGGGTGATTGTCAGTGGAATGCTTGATCATTCACCTTAGAATAGGGGAGTTTGATAATTAGGAAGGCAAATGTCGAGCATTGGTAGTTGATGGACATTTAATATTGGCAATTGTCGAACAATGGGAAATTGTGAATGTTGGGCATCAACTACTAGTTAATAATTTGATCAATCATTCCTCTTATATAAGGGGATGCCAAGACTAGGAGCACATGCATCAATCATCAACAGATGTCAAACATTGAAATGTTTCAAATGACAATCGATTGGGAAGTTTGGATGGCGAACGATGGTTGATTGTTTGTTTAATTGTTCTTCTTGTAGGAGGGGAGAATGAAGACCAGGTTAGTGGGTGCTATATGTTGATGGCTGACATATGTCTTTACTAATATTGAAGCTTATGTTTGACTACACATCATCTTATGACATTTTCTCATTTTTAGATGGTCATCCGACTACAACAAAATTAAGATAACCCTAGAAGATAAAAAACACACATCCTTTTGAACTCTAATTGGCATCTTTTGCTATTGAGTTATCCTCTTTAGCTTAAAAAATATTAAGGTCAACTACTAAAGGGTCATTATTCATATGTTTAATGACCTCATACATAAAAATGATAAATACCATGTTAATGACTTTTCCATCAAATGCTCGGACCATTGGATTATTTGATTGTTCTCCTTAGAGGAGGGGAAATTGATGTCTAGTAAAGAGGTTTTGGACATATATGGCTAGCATATGTCAAAATATATGTCAAGTGATGGTCGATTGAGAATGCCTAATGTTGGGTGAATTTCAATGGCATGCTTGATCATTCACGTTACCATAGGAGAGATTGACAATTAGGAAGTTAGATGTCAAGCATAAGTGGCTAATAGACATTTAACATTGGCAATTGCCAAATAATGGGCAATTGTGAATGTTGGATGTCCGCCAATAGTAATGATTTGCTTAGTCATTTTTCTTATATGAGGGGACACGAATACTAGGAGCACATGCATTGATGATTCCGTATATCCAACAACGACATGCTTCAAATGATGATTAATTGGGAATGTTGGATGACAAACAATGGCCAATGGTGTGCTTAATTGTTTTTCTTATAGGAGGGGGAACAATGACCAAGAACGTGGGTGTTAGACATTGATGGTTGATAGATGTCTATATTAACATCCAAGTTTATGGTTGACTACACATTATTCGATGACATTTTCTCATTTGCAGATGGGTCATCTGATTACAATAAAATCAAAAAGATATTACAACATGAAAAGATACATCCTTGTAAACTCCTATTTGCATCCTTTGCTATTGTTTAGCTTAAAAAATATAAAGGTCCCCTACCAAAGTGCCATGATTTATATGTTTAGTGACCTCATACATAAGAAGGGAAAATACTATGTTAATGACCCAGTCATCAAATGCTCAAACCACTCAAAACATCTTAATGATTTTAGGATAGTGTTCAGGAGGCTCAAAAAATAGTATCTGAATATGAAGAACGGAAAATACTATGTTAACGGCCTAGCCATCAAATGTCCAAACAGTTTGGTTTTGAGTAGTTGTTGAAAGACTGAGTAATATGCTATTACTAGACTATGTATGAAATTAGAAGAGATAATATACTTGGAAAAAATAAGGAAGATGATTTAGATTGGTTAGATCTAATGATATATGTCCACTGTAGCAACATCGTTGTTAATCAATGCATTAAAACCTATTTGATATCCGGTGTCTATTTGTTTAATTGGACTAATATTCTTTAAGTAAATTTTTAGTATAAATTACTGATGTTTGATGAATAATTTTTTTCCAAATCGACTAAATCTCCAGGAAGTTATAGAATCCAATTAAAGGAAGAATGACATGTGAAGTTTAATTATGACATAAAAAATAGGTAAATTAACAATAACATCTATGCAAAAGAATTAAATCTTCATGATTTATAAATTGAATATTTTTCATCTCTTTTGTCACACAAGCTTACTAAGGTGAAAGTTAAAAAGATGAAATTTTGTTTTTTCTTAAAGTTTAAACAGTAGGTGGAGAAGAGGTGATTTTATAAGGATTAGGACTTAATTATATGGGAGAATTACCTCATAGAAGAGCAAACAGTAAAAAAGAAGGAATTTATGATAAAAAAATTCTCACATAAGAAAGAAAGAAATATTATGGAAGAGGAGAAAAAAAAAAGTTTTTTGTTTTAAAGCTAAAATACGATCTATTTTAATCCAAAATATAATTCATAAATGCATTTAAAATTTTTGGAAAATTCTAATAACCAGCTCAATTCATTTCGGCCATCAATCCACAACTTAACTCCAGCCGCACTATTGGAAGTGGTTGCACTGCATTCGGGTGACTCAAATCTCCCCTGCAGGTTGCCCAAAGCAGCAGCTTTTAAGTCGTCCGCAGTCTGGTTGCCTTGCCATTTTTTGTTCCTCAACGACTACACAGTCGGCTGCATCACCCTATTGGGACAGAGCTCTCTTTTGTGCCCAATCTTGCCGCAATCAAAGCAAGAGAGATCAAGCCCCTCATACTCTACTCTCTGATAGAACCGGCCGTTCAAGCCGTTTATCCAAATCCCCGTTTGGATCTTCTTGGCCAAGTCAAGTCTGACGCAAATACGAGCAAATTCCCGACGCCCCCACGCACCTGTTTGGGCATCAATCCACAGCGGTTGTCCAATCATCGACGCAATTCTTGAGATATTCGTCAAGTCCCAATATTGCAGTGGTAAATGGGGAAGTCGAATCCAAATCGGAGAAGAAAGCCCCTCCATCGAGTCAGGAGCAAACTGTGGCGTCCATCTATCAAGGCCAACAATATTTCCTCTAATGAACCACGGCCCGCCATATAAGACCGCATCTCGAGCCTCCATCGTGTTAAAAGTGCAGACAAAGCATTCCTGCCCAATAGTGGCTAGCTGGAACTCACCAAACCGTCCCCATTGTCTTTTGATTTCAGAACTAAGGACACAAAAGGGGAGCCTCTTCCCCAGGATTCGTCCCACCACCGCTTTCTCCAACCGCCGAACGTTCTCCCTTACTGACTCCAGGTCGAGGTCGACGGAAACGCCATCCTTCGAGAAAGAAGTACGTTCTTCAGCCTGCACGATGCGTATGTGCTCGGGCCTTTTCCAAGCATTAGGGTGTCTGGTCGGCTCACTCAAACTAGCCTCCCCAAAAATCTTTGTATTGACTCCTGAAGGGGCACTCTCTCGAGCACCTTGTGTGCATTGCATTGAATTCTGAAAGCCAGAATCATCTGGCCCAAGGACGTTCACGCCTACAGTAGCAATGAAGCCCGTAGCATTGTCAGGGGTAAACCCCTGTAGCTCCATTTCATTACCGGTCATTCCCACAGTGCCACCAAGAGGCCGAGAAGTACTAACCTCCATGAACTGCTCATCCATTCGATCCGCATCTGGGTATAGATTACCCGAGCCCATCATCCCTTCCTTCAAGCAATCCTTAACCACCGTTTTCTCGATGTCCATAGAGGACAATTCATCAACGTACACCGGGTTATGTACAACCTTCATAGCTGTCTTCGCAATCTTCTCATCCCGCGAGAGGTTTGCCGCTGATCCTACCATGCTTCCGCCGGACTTCAATGACAGATGATCAAGTCTGATTGTCGAATTGTTAACGCCTGGACCGCCACAGGACCCATTTCCGTCCGCCCCCTCAGCCCCCGATCCATCGATCGGGGTTTTGGCCGAAGAATGAGACCTCCCTTTCGACTTGCTCGAGCTGCCCTTACTAGGAGAACGACCCTCACCGGCCTTCTTGCCACCTCCCAAACCAGCACCCGAACGGCTACGCTCCGCCTCACCACCACCCCCGCCTGAGCGGGGTCGGGGAGGTGACCTTCGGGACCCCGCCATCCTTCTCTCTCAAGGAAGGATTCAAGAGAAAAAAGAGGGAAAATGAAGAAGCCTCCTAAAATTTTTGGGTTTCAAAATAAGTACGGTGGAAAGGCTGAATTTTTTTTTTTTAGGGACATAAATTATTGATTTTAAAATATTCTCAACTTTTTTCCCTTGGAACCAACATCGACAATTTTGATTTTTTTTTTTTTTTGTGTGTTAAACTTATTAACATAAGAAGATAGATTAAATAATTAAAAAAAAAACTTATAACCAAGAAATTCTGATATTCTTATTTTTATTATATGTTATCTATAATTTTTCATCAGAGTCTTCCTATTTTGAAATCATTATATAATAATAATTTATTGGATTTAGTTCCTTAAAATTTTTGTTAAAAGTGATTTGGAGTTAT